CTCACCGAAGAAAATAAGTTGGAGTTGAGTTTGCCGGGATCAAGCGGTAGCCGAAAGCAAGGAAATACAGCAGAAGCCTCACCGGAGGAGAGAGTCAGCCAGGTCACAGAAAGCTTCGAGAAAGCAGCAATGGAGGACTTGGGAGAAAAAGCTAGAGAGAGAAAGAACTTCAGAAATAACGATGTAAAGTGAAGAGATGAAGAGAGAAGGAACTGGTTTTGTCAAAAATGTGAAAAGGCGGCAAAAGGAAATTGATGAGCCTAGAACAACGCATTGGTCAGACGGCGCACCCAGACGCAAGACAGCTTACAAGCGCGTCTCAGACACGGTCCAGTGAGGGGCAAACGCGTGGCAGAAATGGTTGGATTATTTTGCGTGACAACTCATACGCGTGAGGGAGCTCTTGGAATTCTTGGTTTTATGGGACAGTACCTCGGCCTTGAGGATGATCTCGGTTGAGAAACTTGGACAATCTTGGTTAAAAATTATGAAACCTTGATGAGACAGACTATAGGATCTGGTTATAAGAAGCCGGTGTGTTACGACCTCCGTAAATGGATCATACAGCAAGATAACCGACGTGAACGATATAGGTTCCATCACCTCAGTATGCCAAGGTAATAGAACCTAGGGGGCAGTTGTGGGGATATATTTTCTGAATACCAACACGTGGCCAAGGTGACGCCGACGTGTCAGCCAAGATGCCACGTGTCCTGGTCGTGACGCCGAGGTGATCTCGGCTAAGCCGAGGTTTTTTCCGAAGATATCGAAATCCGAGATAAGCGGATAAAGGACAAGAGTCCTAGAGTAAGGAAGGACTTCAGCCTGGATAAGGATAAAGCTCTTAGAGAGTTTATCTTTATCTATTGAAGAGTCCAGGATAAGCACTGAGCAGAAGTTCATTGAAGCTAGGCTTCTATTGGGGCTAAGATTGAGTTAACTATAAAATAGAGGCACCCCCATGGGTCTAAGGTATGTAATTTATATTCTGAACATTGTATTAAGCACTTGATTTATCTTTGAGAGATAACTGACTAGATCATCGGAGTGCCCCGAGTGAACGAACCACCGCCGGAATCTCTTCTTTCTGTTGCAGGTCAATCAGGCGTCATCTATTCTGCTAAGTGCTCTCCAGCTGAATACTGAGTTAGCAGTATGGTCAGAAATTCACTCACACAAAAGGTTAATTTATTCTCTCTTGTGATTATTCGGTAGAAGTGTTGTTACACGCTATTGGGCACTTAAAACTTGTCAAATTATTTCCAAAAGCATAACAAAAAGTAATAGACCCCACTACTTTAACCAATAAATATCAAATTACGACACAACATGGATTTGTCCCAAAAGCAAAAAAAAAAAAATTATTTTTTTACACGTTTTTTTTATAAAAAACTAAAAAAATAGCAAAAATACTAGACCCGACTATTGTAACCAATGGATTCACCCAACGTAACGTGGCACCTATATAAACGTAATGTAACGTGACACTTATATAAACGTAACGTGACACCTACACGTAACGTGACACTTACATAAACGTAACGTAATGTGTCACATTACATTTCGCAAACTTAATGAGTTTTTATTTTTTAAAATTGAATGTGAAAATGTTGCTGGTTTATGTTGGTGTCACGTTACGTTTCATATAAATATGATATATGGTAACATTTAATTTCCTATATAGAAAATTGAATGTTGTTATAGATCATAGGTGCCACGTTACGTTTATGTAGGTGTCACGTTACGTTACGTTTATATAGATATGATCTATGGTAACATTCAATTTTCTATACCATAGATCATAGGTGTAACGTTACGTGCAGGTGTCACGTTACGTTTATGTAAATGTCACGTTACGTTACGTTTATATAAATATGATCTATAGTAACATTTAATTTCCTATATATGGTTTTACTATTATTTATGATATTAACAACTATATTGAGAGTAAATGTGTCAACAAACTTTCCACAGGATTTATGAAAACATAAGTTTTTTTTTGAGGGGGGGGTGTTTAATGAGTATAGAATTGTTCTGTCCTGTTTATTCGGGTGTTTAATGAGTATAGAATTATTCTGTCCTATTTATTCACTTTATTTTTTTTACATGTCTTTTAATAAAAACTTTAGAAATTATTAAAAAAATTAATTCTCAATCCGTCTTTTAATGTTTGAATTTGTTATTCAAATATAATTACGTTCCATTATATTTTATCCAAAACTTGATATGAAAAATGTCTGAAACCCCTACAAAAATTATCCAATTTAACAAATAGATATAATAATATCAAGTCATACAATCTCATCTTCTCATTTGCCTACCATGTATACGTGGTAAAATAATGAAGTTTGGCTTCCTTTCAGTCTGTGAGTAGTTTAGAAAGTGTTATTGAGCTCGTGAAAATCCATCACAGGTTCTATTTTAATAATATGAATCGTTTAATGTATAAAACTCGTCGAGTATTATATATTTGTAAAAAATTAAATTTGATCAGATATTGATACCTACGTGATTAAATTAGTTTTGTATAAAAAAAATAACCGGTGAAGAAATAAGCGGTTGACAAAAATTTGATCTGATGAAATATCTATCGATATCCGATCAACATGATTTTTTACAGACATATAATACTCGACGAGTTCTACACATTAAACTAATCGGATTATTAAAACAAGACCCGTAATGGACCACCACGGGTTCAACAGCACCTTTCAATCCAATCACATACTAGAGGGAATTCGATTCCAAATAATTATTCATTAAAAATGGAGTTCGCTTTTATTGTCGCTTTGTTTTAAGAGAATTTATTAAAAAAATATTTTGTAATTATTTATATCTCAATTAGTCTATAAACTATTTTTATATTCTAATAAATTATATTATTTTAAACATTTAATTCAATAAATTTTAATTCTCATATTTAACCTAATTTATAGATAAATTTACATTTATAAATATTTTTTTGACGCCATAGTAACTTGATGTGCACTATTTTGAATGTTTCATTATCTGAATTTTCACATTAAATAAATTTGACATTACAAATATTCATATTATAGAACATCCACATTATTAATGTAAACAATAATGTGCACTTTACCTTATCATTATTAAAAATATTTTGATAACTATGTCACATATAAAACTTATTAAACATAAAAGAATAATTTGAATGAAAAAATTATTTGAATTTTGCTTATTTACGATATTTTTGACTTTTTATGAAAAATTATATAAAAAAAATAAAAAAAGAAGATATAAATCAAATAAATACACTTATCAAATAGATATACTTAATCATCCCCAAACAGCCCCTAAGTAAAATGGGTGATTATTTAGTAATCTCACAAATATGATCACATGATGTTTTATAGTAATATCATTAATGAAGAAGATAGAGTATTAATTAAAAAAATAATGTTAATTATTTATGTTAGATGATTAGAGATTATAAAAAGACATAATAAATAATAATTGATAAACAATATAATCACATAATACTCTAAAAATATGGCATAATTTTCAAGTAAACACAAATGGGTGCGAAAAAATTATAAATAAATGATTTTTTTTATTACTTCAAGCTTAACTTCTTTGTCATATCATTGTAAATAAATTGAAGGATTTAAATGGTAGGATTTAAATTGTTGTGAATCATGTCCAAACCGTTGTGAATCACCTCCGAACAGTTCTAAAAATCTAACGCTGTGTTTGGATTGAGTGATTTAGAGAGAAAAGAAAATAAATCAAGAGATATGTATTTCTCTTGCTTATTTAGATAATTTAAATGGAGAAAAATGAAGAAAAATAGAGAAAAACGGATAGAAACTTAGACTGTGTTTGGAACGCTTTTCAAACTATAGTTCTACCCATTTATTTACATTTGGCGTTTGTTTACGGTTTTCCAAAATTAATTCTACATTCAATTTTGAAAACTATCTTAAGCAAAAAAATTTGAACTAACCAGTCATCCAACCAATTGACTAGAACAGTAAATTTTTTTTTTTTTTGCAATTGACACATTAATTTTTATATATTTGAAAAAAATATTTTTCAAAATTTTTAAAATTTTTCATGAGTTTTAATAGAATTTCGAATTGTGTATTTGATTATGAGTTGTAAATTTTTATATCAAATATCATATGTCACATCAAAAATCCCTCACTCAATTCAAAAAAAAATTCAAAATTCTTTCACCAAACAAATTTTTCACATTAAAATTATAATTCTAAAACTCACAAACTCAAAATATAATTTAGAAAGTTTTACCAAACACAATTTTATTTCTAAGAGATTGAAATATAAAAGAAACTAATATTTTCATAATACTATTCCTATAAAAATAAAAGAAATAAAATAATAAAAAATATAAAAAAAATTATTTTGATAATAAAATATAAAATAATTTTTTTTCTTTTATTTTCTCTTATGAATTCTTACCAAACAAGAAAGAAAAAAATCATAATAATTTCTTTTATTTTATTTTTTATTTATCCAAACAAAAAAAAAATCACAATCATGTCTCTTCTCTTTTCTTTTAAATTAAGGATATGTCTTCTGTCTAGTGTAGGATCGGATTGGACCGTACTGTTGGACCCGTAGAGACTCACCACGGGTCTCGTTTTGATAATCTGAACCGTTCAATGCGTAAAACTCGTCGAATACTATATGCCTATAAAAAATCACGTTAATCGAATATCGATAGCTATATAATCAAAATCGATAGCTATATAATCAAAACAGTTTCGTATTAAAAAAAATTAGACGGTGAACAAATTAACGGTTGACAAAAAACTGTTTTGATGACATAACTATCGATATCCGATCAACGTAATTTTTTACAGACATATAGTACTTGACGATTTCTACACATTGAACGATTCAGATTATCAAAACAGAACCCATAGTAAATCCTCACAAACCCAACAGTACGGTCCACTGGACAGAAGCGATACCCATTAAATAATCCAATCTCATATTTTCTTCTACTTCCTAAAAGAAACACAAAAAGAGAGTGATTTCAATAGATTTTTCCCTCAGATTCTTCCGAAAGCATTAGTCCAAAACCAAATCTAAAACCAATTGATTTGTCCCAAGCAATAGTCCAAACCATCAGATTCTTGAAAAAAATTCACATGCATTTCTGACTTCTTCTGATCTTCAATTCCTACGTATATGTTTTGTTTCAATTGATACAACAACATTAAAAAAAAAATTAAAAATAAAAGAACTTTACAATATGCTTTTTCATTAATATATATATATATGATTGTTCGCCAGAACTACTGTGAACTACTGCGCTGGCGTCGTTTCCGGCCGCTACAACGGCACGGGTCCATCATACGACCCGAAACCTAGATCCGAATAATCAAACAACCCATCCAAAGCAACGTACTCGCCGTTGTTAATGCCGTTATAGTTATCCTCATGGCCGGCGATTCCAATCTCGAACGAGTCATAACTCAGGATCTGATCATCGAACCGCCACAGCTCACTGAGTTCGTCCGACTCGTCGGACGAAATCCGAACCAACTCGCTTACCTCGCTCGACGACGTGGTAGTAACCGATGGAGGAAGACCAAGCTCGTCGTCAGAAGCTTCCAAAAGGTAGCCGAGTTCCGGCTGAGACTCGCCGGAATCTGACGTCAGATCCACCACGGCCACCGGCGGAGACGGCGGCGCCGAGGCGGAGATCTCTTCTTCGAAGCTCTTCATGAACGAATCCAAATCGGGAATCGTGGAGCACAGATCCGAGTCGTCGAGATTGCTCAGGAGATCGTCCTTGAGTCTCTTCACCTCAGGCAAATGCGACTCGGAGAACTCGGACTCGTCCGAGTCATCTCGAACTCGCTTCTTGTTACTCAACTCTTCAGCCATAATAGATAATAATAAAACAAAATAAGAGAGAATTACGAAAAGCCCAAAACTAGGGTTTCGAGTAGAGAGAAAAAAATCGATTGAGGGTAGATGTGGAAGTGGAATGGATATGCAAAGGGGTTATATAATGGAGACAATATAGAGAGAGAAAGTAGAGAGAGAACAGGTGAAAAGTAGAGAGAGAAAGAGAGAGAAGTTAGAGAGAGAAAGTAATGATACAGTGACGGGGGCGCGTGGGTGCGAATGCTTTGACCATCACGGACGTCGTGACTTTGGCCTTTTTTTTTTTTTTTTTTTTTTTTTTTTTTTATATTCCACTATTTTTCTTTTCTTTATTTAACCGGCCTGTTTTTGTAAATTTTTGTAAATTTTAAATTGTTTAATGGTATTTTAAAATAAAATTAGATTATATTCCTTTTATGAACTGGTTTGAATTCTTGATTTGAAATCCGGTCAGTCCTGCTGGGTGGGGCCCACAGACGTAGTCAATCACGGCCATCTTTTTTTTTTTTCACTGTCGTGTTGTATTTTTGGTAAGGTCTCTTTTTGTTTCTGTCCTTTTATCTCGGCTCGGCTGAGCGTGACTAATTATGGATTGTTATTTATTTTTTTTTATTTATTTTCTTACATTTACACATAAATCTTAATTTATAAATTTATATTCCATTAAATATTAATTAGTAAGATTTTTTGACCTTTCAAATTCTATTAAATTTTTAATAATCAGAATTCCCTTTCAAATAAGAATTGTTTACCCTTTATGATTATCTAGAAAAAAACATGGTGATTTGACATTTATTTTGATTTTCAAACTTTAAAATATCAACTTTCAAATTTTAAAAACTTTTAAAAAATTGAAAAAATCAAGAAAAATGATTTTTTTTTTCAGAAAACTAAAAATTTGTGTTTATAAAGAACCATTATGATGAAACATTGATGTGCAAACTGAAAAAAAAAAAAACTTTAAAAATTTTTTTTGATAATATTCTCGATTTTATTAGATAATTTAATCAAACCATTAAGTAGAAGGGTAAAAATATTTAATCTCATGCTCTATGTTTTTCATCCGTTAGTCAGACAATTAATTGAAATATTACTATGCAAAATTGATGGTATTCTTAATTTTAAAAATTAATAAAATTGATAATATTATCAGTTTTACTATATAATTTAGGGTACACTACCAATAGGTTCTAATAATTGGACTTAACTCTCATCAAGTCCTATTAAAAATAAGTCTTGCTAAAATCGTCGCTAAAAATAATTTTTTTGTGACGATTTTTTACATGTCACTAAAAATTAACAATTAGTAACTTTTTTTGTCATGATTTTTATAAATTTGCTAAAACTTACAATTAGTGGCGTTTTTCTGTAATGAATTTTTTAAATTGTCACTAAAAGTTGTGAATTAGTGACGATTTTTTTAAAATGTCGCTAAAATTTATAATTAGTTACTTTTTTTGTGAAATTTTTTTCATATTGCCACTTAAAATTAATAATTAGTGACTTTTTTTTAATAATATTTAATGAAAAATGTCACTAATTATCATAAGACATATTGGACAATAAATCCACTTATTAGGACCTACACGTAAGTCTCCCTAAAATTTATTGGTTCGAAAAATCTTAAATAGGATCTGCGTTACCATAACATTTGTAAATATGACTTTTTAACAATTAACTTATTTTTTTTAAAAAAAATTTGGAGTAAAAAGTATATAGGGTGGAATTGATTAAAGCTTCCTTTGGCTGTGTAGGTTGGGCTGGGTTGGGTTGGAATTCAATTAGTCATTAAAAAAAATTTATAAAATAAAACATCATATTTAAATCATAATTATTTTATTTTTTTTCTCATAAAAATTTTTAAAAAAAAATTAACCCAAACGAACTTTTTTAAATCCCAAACTAAAAAAGTCTCAACTCTAAAAAGTCAACTAAAAAAATTTTTTGCCAAATGTTGCCTAAGGCTGTTTAGTTTATAGATTTATGAAGAGTTTTAGAAATTAAAAAAAATAAAAAAATAAAAAGAAGAAGAAGAAGAAGATTAGCTTCCTTTAAGTTGGTCATTTTAATTTAAAAGAGTATTTGGGATTGATAAACCTATTTTGGGAACCAATTTTAATGATACGAATCATTCACCGTCCAAGAATAGTTGAGTAAAATTTTTATAAAAAATCTAAAGATGATCAGATATCTATTCAAATTCTTTTGACTATTTAAATTTACATCTATCTGTTATTTTTTTTCTTATATGTTTAATTTTTTTCTCTATCTGTTCAATTTCTGTGAATTTCTTTTACGTTGTGTTTGGTTGGGGGATTTGGGAAGGGAAATGGAAAGGGAAATGGAAATGAAAGGAAAAGGAGAAAGAATTAATAGAATTCCAAATCCCAACTATGTTTGGTTGTGTTGGTTATAAAATAGAATTGATGTCCTAAAATGTCTCCTATTTCTTTATTTATTTCTCACCCCCTTTCTTTTCTCATATATTTTTTATTATAACCAAACATAAATAGGATTACATTTCTCATTCTTTTTCCAAATCCCACCCCAAAAACCCCAACCAAACACAGCATTAGAGATGTGAGAAGAGAGAGCGTCACTGTATACGGCGGAGAGGAGGCCGTAACCTCCACTACATCTCTCTCTTCTTAGATCTGAATTATGTACAGGGCCTTTGTTTCAGATCTGAAGCCTCTGTTTCAAATCTAAGCTTGTCCCATTTGAGAAGCTTGTAAAGGTTAAGAACTCCGTCAAGCTTGCTTCGGCTATGAAGTATGTGTCTATCGTTGTTAAGAATACTCCGGCTACGGCGACAACAATGAAAGCTTCGGCGAAGAAGACAGTTGTTCCGTCGTTTTCCCTTGCAAACGTTGACCTAAGCCTCACCGTCAATCTTGGTGAGGAAGTTTTGATACCATTCGAGGAAATCATTCTCGGCCCAGTGCTAGATCCATAGGGAGAAGGCGGTAGCGACACCACCGACGAGCGGGGGGAAGAAGGCAGTGGTTCTAGAAGTGGAGTAAACGGCAAAGGCGCAGTATCAACAACAGCGCTAGATAATGAAATGGCAGAGGATTGGTAAAGCGAATAAAAGATAATTTGAAGAGAGAGAGAGAGAGAGAATTAGGGCTTAAAGAGTGAGAGGAAGAAAGAGAAAAGAAGAAAGTGTAGTGTGGCTATGTTCACTACCATGTATGTGATATATATAGAGGTATTTTGGTCATTTTGTCTCAGTTTATCCTTACAGACAGAATACATTAGTACTTGGACCTATGAGCAAGAAAAATCTAAGATTGAATTTTTCGTCTAAGTGTCCATTTTTTCAATGTTTTTAGGGTTACACATTTTTTACTATTTGTCTATATGAATATGATCAGAATTTTAAACAGTGTGTTTGGTTTGAGTTTTTTGAATTAAGTTTTTTGAAAATTGAGTTTTTTGGTTTTCGTATTTTTTTGTTTTTAGTGAACATTTTTGAAATTTTAAACATTTTTTTTACTTTTTTAGATGCACCTTACTTAGATGTATCTAAAAAGTAAAAAAATTTTGAAAAAATATTTTAAAAAATTAATAAATACATAAAAATACAAAAAATTTACTCAATTCTTGTATTTTGTTTTTGTATTTTTGGAATTTAGTGAATTTTCAAAAGGTTTTTTCAATTTTTTTTTACTTTTTAAGTATATTTATGTTAGGTATGTCTAAAAATTAAAAAAAATTGCTCAAAATATTAAAAAAATTTAGTAAAAACAAAAAATACAAAAAATAAGAAAGTAGAATTTTCTGAAAAGTATTTTTAAAAAATAATAACCAAGCATGCTGAAAAGGATTGGGTTCGAATATGAAGTTCCACCCTATATGAAAAAAAAATAGGGTAAATTGTACTTTGCGTTTTTGTATATTTGCTTATTTTTTTCATTTTATTTTTTTCGTTTTAGCTCTTGAATTATTATTATTTTTTACTTTGATCCTTCAAATTTTAAGTTTTTCTCAATTTATTGTTAAAGTTAGTTTATGTTCAAAATTAGACAAAATGTTATGTTATGTGCCAAATCACATAAAAAAAAATTATTATCTTGAGATTTTAATTTGTGTCAGATGTATGAGTTATATATAATAAAATATTTTTATCTCACTCGCTATCAATGTGTCATTTTTTGTTTAATTTTGAACATAAGGTAGTTTTAGGATAAATTAAAAGAAACTTGAAATATGAAGGGTCAAATGGGAAAATGACCAAATATTACAAAAAAGAAAAGGAAAAAAAGACAAAGTATAATTTATCCGAAAAAATTATATTTGAATTTGTGATCAACACGGTTTAAAATTTTATTTAATGTATCTTCATTTGTAAGATTGTATGATAATTTTAAACTACTACTATTGAACATGGTTTAATAGTGCTCCAAAATTAAGCAATACAACCAATCGTTATAGTTGTATTATTCGTGTGATTATTTGATTGCCATGGATCACATTACTCCACACCATTTATTACGGTGCCTTTTGGTAACACTTACGTTTTCAGTTTTCTATTTATATTTATAAAAATTTTAAAAATTCAAATAAAAACTTGTTTGGTAAAATTTTTGATTTATAAATCAGTGGTCTCAGTTTATAAATTTGGCCAAAAAATGAAAACACAAAAAATGTGTTTCCATTTTAAGTTTTCAATTTTTTTTTTTTTACCACCCAACACTAGCCACCACCCGCCACCATTTTCCACCGCCACCTTCTCCGCCACCACCACCCACCCACCACCACCCACCTACCACACCACTCACAACACCCACCACCCACCCCACCACACTAGCCACCACCCCACACACCCCGCACCACCCACCACAGCCCACCACCCATACCACTACCATCACTCGCCACCACCACCCACCTCGCCACCACCACCACCACCCCCACCCCACCTATCTACCATCCACCACCACCCCGCCACTACCCATCCACTACCCGCCACCCACCTCGCCACCTACTTGCACCACCACTCACCACCCCACCTACCACACATCCACCACCTGCCACCACCAACCACCTGTCATCCACCCGCCACCACCACCCACCATCACACCGCCACCACCACCACCCGCCACCCACCGCCACCACCACCCACACC